CATCCCAGAGGGTCTCACGTGAAAGAGCTTCAACCCCTGTGGAACTGGGGTGCATGGCCCCACAGCACAGGATGCGTGCACCAACCAGGGAGCTCTGCAGACTCTGTCATTTAGGGTTTTCCGGAAACTCCATGGTTGAAAACTGGCTGTTAGTGATTTCATCCATCCTCGTCACTCTCCCCTTCCTGGAGGGTAGGGGTGAGGCTGACAGTCCCAACCGTCTAGTCATGTCTTGGTCTTTCAGAATCGAGCCCTCTTCCTGAAGCTACCCTCAGCCTTAAAGAAACAGGGCACAGGGCTAGCAAATGGCATAATGCTACATGGCTAGACTCCCATGCAGTGGACTATGGTTCGAGTCCTAGAACTGGGGCTTCAAACTCACACCGGGGGCGTGTGCGTGCATGCCCAAGATCCCCAGAGAATGGAGGAGAAGGGATTGTGGTGTGGCCATCCCCCCAAGGGGGGTGATTTCTCGCTTTCTGTCTCTCTCTCTGCCTCTCTGGCGGGCACACATGCCCTAGAGCAAACACTCTCAAAAATAAGAAAGCAAGCAAGCAAGCACACATTTTGGTAAAACAAGAGTTTATTGGGTGGGGCTGACAGGCGGTGTGGTAGTTAAAGGGCTGGACTCTCACATGGTGGACTGCAGTTCAAGTCCCAGACCAGGCGGCCCGAAAATCACAACCAATAAATAGATAAATAAGTAAATAATTTTTTGAAGAGATGTAGATTCAAATAGCCTTGAGTACGTGTTCTGAGGCCTTAGAATCTCTAGACGGCTTCTAAAGGCAAAAGCCACGAACAGGGAGTGTGGCTGGGAGCCAGCTGTCGGAGATCTATAGCGGGGCGAGCTGATGACACTCTCGCTACTGGCGTCACTGCTGCTCCGTGACTGTCCCTGCTGGCCAGGCGCTTCCCCAGCAGGTGTCTTCACAGAAGTAGTTTCTGCGTAAGGTCACAATGTTCTTTGTGCAAGGTTGTGTTTTAGCAGAGTCTTTATTTAAAATATCATTTATGTCTTCTGATAACGACACAGAGAAAGAGACAGGCAACCTCAACAGGGTCCCGATTCTGGGGTACCCCCGCCCCCGGCTTACCAGGATCACGAGCTCACACACTGGTATGTGCCCAGAGGTGAACCTGGTACCTGGCTTGCCTTGCGGAAGGAAGTCCCTTCTATCTGGCATCCTCCTGTGAGAACCGCCCCTCTGCAGCCCTCCCCTGGCTCCATTCAGTCAGGGTTCAACGCAAGTTGACACAAATGATTCCATTTTGATTCTGACAACTTTCACCCCATCTTGGTCCCCCTCTGGCCTCCAGGCATCTCATTAGCATATGAAAATGCTCTTATGACTCTGTAGATTCCAAGGGTCTTAGAAGCTCTTGTGTCACAAGATGCACCTGTCATACTTATCACACAGGAAATTATAAGGGTTTTAGGAGTTCATATCAGAAACTGGGGTCAGAAGGATCCACATGGTGGTGTGATGGTAAAACGCGACTCTTACGAGACTCTCACCTGCAGGAGAAGGTTCTGGGCACACTGGGCATGCACACGCCCATGACCCAGGCCTGGCTGAGGCTGGGGGTGGATTGTGACAAGACCCCGTTTGGTGAGGGGCCTGTAGATGTTATGGCACTGGACTCCCACGTGGACAACCGCGGTTCGAGTCCTCCTTTTGTAAAACAAAAATTATAAAGAGAAAGGAATTTTATTGGTGTGACAAAGCTAACATCAAATAAGGGTCAGACCCTGGGGTCTGCAGTCAGACCCACATGTCTACTGACCCTGAAAAAGCTAGGGTCCCAGGCCAGCAGGTGGCATGGTGGTTAAGGTTCTGGACTCCCACATGGCAGATGACGGTTCAATTCCTGGACCTGGTGGCTTGCTTTCTGACTTTCTCTTTCTCACTCCCTCTCATGCATGTGCCCTATAGCAAAATTTAAAAATAGTGGTAATAATTTTTCAAAAGCTATAGTTCTTTACACTAGTAAAAGGGTTACAATGGGGACCAGCAGATGGTATAACGGTTATATTGCTGGACTCCCATTTAGTCAACCAGTATTCAAGTCCCCACATCCAGCCCCTTAAAACACACTGGGCATGTGTGTGTGCGTGCCCAAGATTCTGAAAAGAGAATGGAGGAGGAGAAGGGGGTACGGAGTGGCCTTTCTCCAGAGGGGGTAGTGATTTCTCGCTTTCTGTTTGTCTCTCTGTCTCTCCTGTGAGCACAGGCGCCCGAGAGCAAAAATCTCATTAAAATAAATAAATAAGAAAGAAGAGGTTACAGTGTACGTCAGTTCTAAGAGCGTTCACATCGGACCTGTCCTGTCCTTTCTGACCTTCAGCCGTGGAGTCGATAAGAGGGAGCAGCCAGCAGGCGAGCTCGCTAGCCACCGGCTTCCCAGTTCTCCAGCTCCGATTTTTTTCACTTTTGTATATCAATCTCTTTTGCAGATCAACTTTATCTTCTCGCCGCTGGGTCCCCCAGTCGTTGCCTAGAGGATAATAATCCCTCCCCCCAGCCTTCCCCACCCGCTTCCTGGCCAGCCCTGTCATGAGCACCACCTGCACCCGCCCAGGCAGATAGGCTATCAGCCACGGATTGCTTAGTTGCGAGTTACGGAGACCCTCCGCGCTGGCTTGTGCTAAGCATGCTGGTTGGAAGGATGCAGAGGCGTTTACAGACTCCATCCAAACAGAGCTGCGAACATCGCCGCGTGGCTTCTCTGCTGCCGGGACTCTGGGGCTCCATCACCCCTCTCTGCTTTGTTCAGATCATCTGCACCGCTCCCTCTCTCTGTGAGCCTTTGAAGCAAATGACCAAACTGCAGGGGCTAGGGGAAACTCTGCAGAGCAGCAGCTGGTGTCAGAAGTAAGGATGGTCTCATAAGAAGACTGCCCTATAAACTCGAAGTATGTCCCAACTCTGGGTCCAAATTCCCCCACATGTCAGAATAGGAAGAACTTGGCTGACTTCATTAAGTTAGCTAACTAACGAGTCACTGGATGTGTAAATATCCTAGCGAAAAAGAGGTACAGAGGAGCCAGCAGGTGGTGTAGTGGTTAGGGTGCTGGACTCCAATATGGCTGACCACGGTTCGAGTCCCAGAGCTGGCAGCTTGAAAATCATGCCAGGAGTGTGTGCCCAAAATCCCAGAAGGAGAATGGAGGAGAAGGGGTGACAGCGTGGCCTTCCTCCCTGGGAGGGCGATTTCTCATTTTCCCTCTCTCAGTCTCTCTCTGTCTCTCTCTGTCTCTCTCTGTCTCTTTCTGACCAGCGCACACACTTTATGGCAAAAATCTATTAAAAAAAAAAGAGGCACAGAAACAAAAGTCCCAGTTAAATCAACATTTATTGAATATTTCTGTGTACAAGAGGGAGCCAAGGATGATGCGGTGCCCTCCAGAAGCTGGGGGTCAGTGGGAAAGGTTAAGTAAGTGTCCTGATGCTCTATTGCAAGGCCTGGAGAGCTCGCGGGGGGCTGTACAGAAAAGGATGCCGTGGGAGTCCAGAGAAGGGGTTGATTCCTGAGGGTCAGACCGTGGCGTCAGAACACAGGGCTCGCCCTCTGACCTGGAATGAAATCGTCACCGCGCAGCCCCTTCCCGAGGGCCTGCCTGCTGCCTGCAGACTCCAGCCCTTCTCGGCTCGCCTTCACCCTGCTTCCCTTTGCTTACCTCCCTTTCTCTTCTCCTCCGTATTATTTACACTAAAATCTTAACGACAGCGGTTGTCGGTGGTATCTGAATGCCTCCATTCAGAGCTGCTTCGAGAACTCTTGGGAAGGAAGATGCTATCATTGCTAAACGGCTTGGGCCAGGAAAGGAGACTGCGGGGTGGGAAGGGAAAGGAGGAGTCAGGGACGTGATTGGGAACCGTCTGCGCTGTGAGGAGAGTCTGAAGGCGCAGAGATGGGGGAGGGTGAACGTCGTCGAGGACAGCGAGGACAGCGGTGGCAGCGGCCACAGTGGCACAGGCAGGGAGATGCTGCTCCCAGATGTTGGAGACCACGCGGGAGGGCTCCAGGTTCACGTCACCCACCTCAATGTGTCGGCACCCCCGGGACACTTGGGGCTGCAGGACTGGGAGGAGCTCAGTGTGAAGGTCCTGCCAGGGGTCTCTCTGTCTCTCTCTTTCTCTCTTCCTCTCCTTCCCGTTAAAAAGCAGGGGTGGGGGTGGGGAGGTAGTGCCTAAAGTGCAAGGGGAAGCCTCCGCTTGCCTGCTGTCGGCCAGGGCGCTCTCCCACGCTGCCGAACCCCTGTCAAGTGTGCTCCACCTTGGAAGAGCCTTCCTTACGCAGTGGCTTCTAAGAAAACGGAAGGAAACACCTGCGTCTCATCCTGGGCTCATTCCACTCAGGAACGCCATTGAGCACAACGACAGCAAGCGTCGCATGCTGTGTGACCCGGGAAGGGTCCGTGGAAGCCAGAGTCCGAGCCACGAGCAACAGCACCGGCATGTGGAGAGGACTGTCAACTCCCAGGTGTGATGCCAGGGATTAACCAGCCCTCAGGGGCCACCAGGGACCGGGGCCTCCAGCTGACATGTACACCGTTTTACAACTCCACTCACTTACTGGTCGGCACCTCTGAGGAATTTAGAGGACGCATCTCCTTTATCGCTTGTC